TTGCGTGGAGGCAGATAACTGTTTTGGTATTGTTGTTGTTAAAGCAACTCCACTGGCTTCCAATAAGTTTCCAGTCCCAATTTGAGTTGCAGGTTATGATCTACAAAGTCCTAAACAGTTCAGGCCCTGCCTATCTTTGGGATTGCATCTCCCCCTATGAACCGGTGTGGACTTTACAATCTGCCAGGGAGGGTCCACTTCCACCACCGTCACAAGCATGGCCAGTGGGGATGAGGGAGAGGCCTTCTCAGTGGTGGCCCTCTGACTTTGGAACACCCTCCCCAAGGAGATTAGACAAGCCCCTTCATTGTCCTCCTTCCATAGGGATCTGAAAACCTGGATGTTCCAGCAAATTTTTGAGAATGATTAGTCCCTAAGCCCAGAACCTAGGTAGTCAGATAGCACTCTGTTCTGCACTTCATTCACTTCCCCGACCCTATGATATGCTGTTTGCACTACCCTTGCCCAGCCCTTTTATCGTTGGCCATGTTCATTTTGTAATCCTGGCCATTGGTTTGCTAATCCTCTACTGATGGAGCTACAATGAAATGGGTTTTCAATATTTTTAGTGTGTTTAACAGGTTTTGGGTATTATATGATGTTTTTAGTTGTTGTTATTGTGTTTGTTAAGTTAAATTAGGCTGTGTTATACTGTTGATGTGTTTATTTTGATGTCGTCTTTATGGTTTTCTTTCCGGCAATTGAATGTTTGCCTTATATGTTGGAAACTGCACTGAGTCCCTTCAGGGAGATAGGGGCAGTATACAGATGAAGTGTTGTTGTTGTTGTTGTTGTTGTTGTTGTTGTTGTTGTTGTATCTTTGTCCAATGCAGAATTTGATGCAAGAAGTGCATGGATGAAGAAGCAGTATTGGTGCCTTTATGCATGAATACATTATTATTATTATTATTATTATTATTATTATTATTATTATTATTATTCCGACACAAAAACACAGTATGTCACAGTAAATGAGATCTATATGATTTCATATCACAAAATCGTGAGTCGAACACTTCCCAAACGTCTAGGAGTGTGTGATGTATTTTCAAATGATGCACACAAATCGAAGTAAGGTGGCCTTTTGCAGTTGACAGATCGTGATTTTGTCAGTGTTTATTGTTTCCAAATGCCGGCTGAAATCTTTTGGCATGGCACCCAGTGTGCCGATGACCACTGGGACCACCTGTACTGGTTTATGCCAGAGCCTTTGCAGTTTGATTTTGAGGTCCTGCTAATGGCTGAGTTTTTCCTGTTGTTTTTCCTCAATGTGACTATCACCCAGTAAGATGACATCAATAATCCATTTTTTTTCTTTTCCACAATTGTGATGTCTGGCGTATTGTGTTCCAAAACTTTGTCAACCTGGATTCAAAAGTCCCACAGTATTTTTGTGTGTTCATTTTCTATTACCTTTTCAGGTTTATGATCCCACCAGTTCTTTACTACTGGCAGGTGGTTCTTGTGACATAAGTTCATTATTATTATTATTATTATTATTATTATTATTGTACTGTCGAAGGCTTTCATGGCCGGAATCACTGGGTTGTTGTAGGTTTTTCCAGGCTATATGGCCATGTTCTAGAGGCATTTTCTCCTGACATTTCACCTGCATCTATGGCAAGCATCCTCAGAGGTAGTGAGGTCTGTTGGAAGTAGGAAAATGGGTTTATATATCTGTGGAATGACCAGGGTGGGACAAAGGACTCTTGTCTGCTGCAGCTAGGTGTGAATGTTTCAACTGACCACCTTGATTAGCATTTAATGGCTTGGAAGTGCCTGGGGGGAATCTTTTGTTGAGAGTGATTTGATGTGCCTGATTGTTTACTATCTGTTGTTTTGCTGTTGTAATTTTGGGGGTTTTTTTTAATACTGGTAGCCAGGTTTTATTCATTTTCATGGTTTCCTCCTTTCTGTTGAAATTGTCCACATGCTTGTGGATTTGAATGGCTTCTCTGTGTAGTCTGACATGGTGGTTGTGAGAGTGGTCCAGCATTTCTGCGTTCTCAAATAATATGCTGTGTCCAGGCTGGTTCCTCAGGTGCTCTGCTATGGCTGACTTCTCTGGTTGAAGTAGTCTGCAGTGCCTTTCATGTTCCTTGATTCATGTTTGGGCAATGCTGCGTTTGGTGGTCCCTATGTAGACTTGTCCACAGCTCCATGGTACACGGTAGACTCCAGCAGAGGTGAGAGGATCGCTCTTGTCCTTTGCTGAACATAGCATTGGTTGGATTTTCTTGGTGGGTCTGTAGGTGATTTGTATGTTGTGTTTCCTCATCAGCTTCCCTATGCGGTCAGTGGTTCCTGGTTATTATTATTATTATTATTATTATTATTATTATTATTATTATTTATATATACTAGGCTTGGGTAACAATGGAAAAATTTGTTTCTAAACTCGTTTCGTTTTTAGGGGTCCATCGCTTTTCGTTTTTTTAAAGAATTCCGAAATTTTCCTTTTAAAAATTTCAAAATTTACAAAAATTTGTATAATTACGAATCGATTCGTTAATGGCAGACGCGATTGCGCAATATGCTAAAAAACCTCCAAATGGGACAGGGGGAACTTCTGAAGCTTGTTTGTTGTTGACTGTTGGTGTGATAAAACAGTTGTTGACTGTTGGTGTGATAAAACAAACAACAACTATAGAACTAGCACCAGACATGCGAAAATAATTACGAAATAATTTCAAAATAATTTTGAATTAATTACGAAATAATAACGAAATAATTACGAAATAAATTGAAAAAAAGTTTCGAATCTAATTTACTCCTCACACTATTCCTGCATGGCTCAATATTGGATCGTAAGCTAATTTAAATACGAATTAATAACGAATTACGAAATTAACGAACAAACCACCCAAGCCTAATATATACCCCACTTTCTCTCTTTGCAAGGACACACACACACACACACACATATATACATACACACACACACATATCCATATGTACACACTATGTTTGGTTGCCCTTTCAGCATCCCTGCATCAAAAACCACTAATTCACTTCTCAAGCATAAAACTTCCTCTCCATCCCCAGAAGGCAGCTTCTCAGCTGCATATTTGGGTAGATTGGGTCCTGTTGGACAGCTCCTTTCTTCTCTTCTCCTAAGCAGGAGCTGTAGCAAATTCCTGTAACAATCATTTCAGCATGAGGAGGGCTCCCTCCTTCTCCAGTAGAGGGAAAGAGTTGGGAAGCGTGTTGCAAAGGAAGTTTGAGAGTCTCTCTGGCAATTTAGTGGAAGGAAAGAAACAGCCAACTTCTCTCCTTCTGTGGAATTGGAGGAGCAAGTTTCCAAAGTTACTTTGCAACTCCAGGAGAATGTCCTATCAGTATGAGAAACACATTAGGGTATCTTTTGCATGGTATACCACACCTGTAGCTTATTCCTTGCTGTTGATTTATGCTTGGTATTATTATTATTATTATTATTATTATTATTATTATTATGTTGTCGAAGGCTTTCATGGCTGGAATCACTAGGTTCTTGTGGGTTTTTTCGGGTTATAGGGCCATGTTCTAGAGGCATTTCTCCTGACGTTTTGCCCGCATCTATGGCAAGCATCCTCAGAGGTAGTGACTACCTCTGAGGATACTTGCCATAGATGCAGGCGAAACGTCAGGAGAGAATGCCTCTAGAACATGGCCCTATAGCCCGAAAAAACCCACAAGAACCTTATTATTATTATTATTATTATTATTATTATTATTATTATTATTGACTATGGTGACTCCCATCTCCCACTAACCCAACACACAGGGAGGGGGAAAACAAGGAAAGGCCAACAACAACCCAGAGTTATGTTGGCACTTTAGACCTTTCTTGGTGACTCTGGGTCATTTTCCCTCCCTATTAGACCACCTTGCAAAGGACTTTCTTTGCTGCTCTCCTAAGCCAGGGCATCTGTCACTCCTTTGCTTGTTGCTATTAGAAATTATGGGACTGTACCATCCGCAGGAAAGGCGGAGGGGGGGATGAAGTTGACAGTTGTAACCTTCCTGCCTCCCTTTTGTCTCCTTTGCCTTCCCTCCCCCCTCCGCCTCATCAGCCAAGCTAGAGATTAATTATAGATTGGGTTTTAAATGGATGGGGTCTACCTCTCCTGTCAAATCGGGATCTGTTCTTGGGATCCTTCCCCTCCAAAAAAAAATCAAAAATAAAAGTCAGCACCTCCTTGCCTGTCTCCTCCTCCTCCTCTCCCCTCCTGTAGATTTATTTCACCTCGGAGAGTAAACAGATCTAGTGCAAGCCCAAAGGGTTGATGGGTAGTGTATTTACAAAGGGAAGGAGGAAAAAAAGAGAGAAAGACCCCCCCCTCCTCTTTGCATCCACCTCCTCCTCCTCTTCCTCCTCCTCCTCCTCCCCCAGAGCCATCCCCATTAATGAGAGCGATCATTAAGTGAGTGGCTGCCTTTCCAGAGTTCAGCCACTAAAAAGACTTCTCAGCGATTTAATTGAAAGCGACCAAGCCCGGCTTTCCACGCATGTCCCCCTTGTGAGGAAGTGTGGGGAGAGCAGAGTGGGGGAAGAAAGAAGGGGGGTGGGCATTGGCTCGCTCTCCCCCTCCTCCTCCTCCTCCTCTCCCCCTTTCACCTCCTTCCTCTTATCTCCGCCTCTCCAACCTCTCTCCCCCTCCCTCCTACTCTTCCTCTTCTTCCTCCTCCTCTTCTGCCCCCCCCCCCTCATGTAAATTTCACCATTGCTTTCCGTGATGTCATTTTGAAAAGGGACGGACAATAGGCTGGGCTTTTTGGGAAGGGGGGGTCGACAAAAAAAACACAACAACAACAACAACAACAACAACAACAAGGTAAGTCCATATGTTTATATTTATTTGTTTGTCTGCAGGGACAAAAGGCAACTGGGGAATATTTTTGGATGCCTTTTTAATATGTTTCTAATAGGAAAGGTTGGGAGAGAAGTGTCTAGTGGAGAGAGAAAGAGAGATTAAGGCTCCCTCTGTGTGTATGTGTGTGTGTGTGTGGAATATATGACTATATCCGGATAGATCTGCCTGTCCGGAAGAGGTTGCGTCTCTCTGGAGAGAGCAGACCTTTTGTTGTTTATTTCTCGCCTCCTGGCTTTCCTCCTCGGTTGGTTGTTTCCCCTTCTTCCTTGGATCCGAGACCTGGAGTTTCTATTTCCTTTCCTATTCCGAAAGTAGAAAGATGTCCAAGAGAGAGGGAGAAGAGGAAGGAGGAAAGGTAGGAGGACTTGAGGATGGGGAAGGGTGGGAGAAAGCCTTCGGATTCGGGGTCTGAGCCAACAGGAAAGTTTGCCGGCATTATTATTCCTCGGAAAAAAATACATATTGCACCAATGGAGTTGAGTTCTATCCCTGCCTGTTTATACATTCATGGTATAGAGAAGAAGGTGTTTCTTTAGGGGAGTGAAAGAAGGCAAGTTCTCGGTAGGACTTGCTGTTGCCTCAGCCTCCATTCACTTTGCTTGGGAAGCTGGAGCTGTCCTTGGTGCTGAAAGGTCCAGCTTTCCCGAGGAAGTTTTCAGGCTCCTCTCTTCTCCTTTATCGGCCTCCTTACAGGTGGAGTGTCCCTTATCCATAAAGCTTGGGGACAGGAGTTTGAGGGTATTTTTTTCCACGGATTTTAAACTACTTACATGCCCTTAATGAGATATCCTAGAGATTGGGAACTTAGTCTGAACACTAAAATCATTTATGTCTCATATATACACCCCAGAGAGCAAGTTACCCATAAAGCTTGGGGACAGAAGTTTGGGAGCAGGCATGTAACCAGGGGGGGCTTGGGGGTCTTCAGCCCCCCCCCAAATTTTGGAATATTTTTTCCATGGATTTTAAACTACTTACATGCCCTTAATGAGATATCCTGGAGATTGGGAACTTAGTCTGAACACTAAAATCATTTATGTCTCATATATACACCCCAGAGAGCAAGTTACCCATAAAGCTTGGGGACAGAAGTTTGGGAGCAGGCATGTAACCAGGGGGGGCTTGGGGGTCTTCAGCCCCCCCCCCCCCCAAATTCTGATGGTGGTCCACAAGAAGGCCTTACTGGTACATTATTTGAACTGTTATGCTTATTCATATCATGATCTGATCAGCATGCTCAATATATCCCATATGCATGGGGGTATTAGGGTTATGATACAAAAGGTTTGCTAGGGTAGACCCGCTTTCACTCAGACTCAGCCCCCCCAACCAAACTCACCCCCCCCCCCCAGAAACAAAATCCTGGCTACGGGCCTTTGGGAGTATTTTTTCCATGGATTTTAAACTACTTATATGCCCTTAATTCCTAGAGATTGGGAACTTAGTCTGAACACTAAATTCATTTATGTCTCATATTTACACCCCAGAGAGCAATTTATCCATAAAGCTTGGGGACAGAAGTTTTGGGATATTTTTTCCATGGATTTTAAACTACTTACATGCCCTTACTGAGATATCCTGGAGATTGGGAACTTAGTCTGAACACTAAAATCATTTATGTCTCATATATACACCCCAGAGAACAATTTATCCATAAAGCTTGGGGACAGAAGTTTTGGAATATTTTTTCCATGGATTTTAAACTACTTACATGCCCTTAATGAGATATCCTAGAGATTGGGAACTTAGTCTGAACACTAAATTCATTTATGTCTCATATATACACCCCAGAGAACAATTTATCCATAAAGCTTGGGGACAGAAGTTTTGGAATATTTTTTTCCATGGATTTTAAACTACTTACATGCTCTTAATGAAATATCCTAGAGATTGGGAACTTAGTCTGAACACTAAATTCATATATGTCTCATACATACACCCCAGAGAACAATTTATCCATAAAGCTTGGGGACTGAGCTTTTGGGGTATTTCTTTTCCATGGATTTTAAACTACTTACATGCCCTTAATGAGATATCCTGGAGATTGGGAACTTAGCCTGTTCATGGCATTCATTTATTTTTCATATATGCATCCCTTAAAAGTAATCTAGTACACCATGTTTTGAAGAATTTTGTGAAGCAAATTCTGTCTAAATTTAACCATTGGAAAGCAAAACTGTAACTCTGTCTTCAACCCATTTAGACAATTTTGGAGTGTATTGTATTTCAAGGATTTTAGAATACTTCTATAATAAGATGTGCTGAAAATGAGACCCAATATCATTTGTGTTTCATATGCGCCTTCTACACATAGCCTGAAGGTACACAGTGTTTTTTTTAATCATTTGTGTACCAAAGTTTGTGTACATTGAACCATCAGAAGTGTCAATTTCTCATTGATCCATGTAGATAATTTTGGAGTATTTCAGATTTTGAAATTCTGGATAAGGGACACTGAACTTGCATTCCTCTTCCTGGTAGCATGAGTATCGGAAACACGCTGGAATATCTTTTGTGTGTTATACCACACCTGTAGCTTACTCTTTGCTGTTGATTTATGGTTGGCATTATTATTATTATTATTATTATTATTATTATTATTATTATTATTGAGACAAAAACACAGTATGTCACAGCAAACGAGATCTATATGCTGGATTTCATATCACAAAATCACAAGTCAAACACTTCCCAAATGTTTAGGACTGTGTGATGTATTTTTGAATGATCCAAGTCAGGTGGCCTTTTGCAGTTGAAAGATTGTGATTTTGTCAATGTTCATTGTTTCCAAATGCTGGCTGAGATCTTTTGGCACGGCACCCAGTGTGCCAATGACCACTGGGACCACCTGTACTGGTTTATGCCAGAGCCTTTGCAGTTCGATTTTGAGGTCTTGATAACAGCTGAGTTTTTCCTGTTGTTTTTCTTCAATGCAACTGTCACCTGGTATGGCAACATCAATAATCTAAACTTTTTTTCCTTTCCACAATTGTGATGTCTGGTTATTGTGTTTCAGAACTTTGTCAGTCTGAATTTGAAAGTCCCACAATATTTTTATGTGTTCATTTTCCACTACCTTTGCAGGTGTGTTGTTATTGTGCAATCTTTAGATTGCAAGATTCCCATCTCCCACTAACCCAACACACAGAGGGGGGAAAACAACCCAAGCCCAACAACAATCCAGACTTTTATGGAAGAGTAAATATTATTTCTGGCCTGTGGAGAAAAGAATTGGGAAGAAAGCACTGACAGAGAAATCAATTGACTATTTCCCACATGTCTCTCTTTCCCTGTTAGTTCCTTAAGTCAAGTAGAGTTGGGTGGTCCTTCACTGTTTTTGTATTCAGATGAAGAAGGCAAAGCTTAAAAGTTAAAGTGCATTTTAAGAAGTGGCAGACATTTTTGAAGTAAGTTACTTGGCAGCATGGATTTGTAGGAAAGGAACCCAGAGACACTGATTTAAGCTCATTCTACTGTTTATCTTATTTAAATTCCCTAACATCTAAAATGGTCAAGTACTATCAAGAGGGGATTGTTTTTGCTCCTGCTCCTTCTAAACGTGTTCTAAGGTTTGTTATTTTGATTGTATCTGATCTTTTGTGTACTTCTAAATCTACTCTAAAGTCTACTGTTGTGATTGCTTGGATGGGTTGGTTGTTTTGCCACCATCATCTTCCCTCTCCAAAATTATCAGTATCGAAATAAAAATGTTTCAGAAATGGATTTTGGGGTTGTCCCACTTGAGTCAGTTTCAGTCCCTTGCTATTGTGGTATTTGTGAGGGAGAATTTTACTGAGGTTTCCATTGTTGACAATGTGTGACTTTCAAGTATTGAACAGAAAAGCAAAGTGTTTTATGAAAATGTGCACAGCAAGCCTTTGAGTATTTTGTGAGCCATCCGTTAGTTTGCCTGGGGGAGCCTCCATTGTTGAACGGGAGAGGAATTGTTGACTCTTCCATTTATCCCAGTTGCCAATTATTATTATTTTTTATCTCCAAGCTGGGCCAGCTGAGGCCTCCTTTTGAGTTGTTCATGACAGCCATTTCCTACGTTTGAAAAGGAAAGAACTAAAGGGCATCTTTATGACTCAGCCGACTGATAACACAGCTCTCCCAGTTGTGCCTTATTGCTTTGTGTGCACAAACACACACACATACACTCTTTTGCTTGTGGTTTCCTGGAGATCCACTTTGGTTAAAGTTCCCCCCTCCAGTAATTACAAACAGTCTCTCTCTCTCTCTCTCTCTCTCATTCTCTCATTGGCTCATCTGTCCTTATTATCAGCTTCTTCCATATGTCCACTTTAATTAATGGCAGACAAAAGAAGTAGAAGGCGAAAGAAGGAGGTAGTTGTCAGGATTAAAGTTTAAGAGTTGCTTTGGCTGGGATGCAAAGGGGGAAGCCCATTGAAGGCACAAAACAAAGATTGTCGGGGGCTTGTTTTATGCCGTCCTTTTGTGATGACGTACGTCTTGCTCCGAAGGCAGGCTATTAGTCGGAGGATGATGTGTTCGCTGGGAGGCAGCAGGGAAAACAACATTGTTTTTCTTTAGATCTGGGATCTATAAAGAGAGCAGAATATGAGACAGTGAGTAGGAAATATGAGGAGAGGGATACACAAAGTGCTTTTAAGGCATTTAGCAATGTCATTTCCCTTTCTCTGGCCATTTTCTGAGTTTTCTTCATGTACATAGTAGAGAAAAAGATGAATATCTGAAAGTCAACCCTTGGCTTGAGAGGCAAAGACTCAGAGTCTTGAAAGCAGGCCAGCTTGTTCACCCCAGGAGAACCCTGGGAAGTTTTTAAAAAAAATCAGAAGGTTTGCTAATCAACTCTAGATCTATATTTAGCCTGGTATAAATAGCATACCACACAAGAATCCAGGATGCTTCATCTTGGAAGAAAGCGAGAAGAGTTTGTTTCTCCCTTAGATGCCTGTTAAGATTCACTGCTGAACTCAGAGATGGAATCATGTGCTTTAATTTTCTCTTTGGCTCTCCTTCCCTCCCAGTGGGACAAAATACAACTTTCCCTTACAAGAAACTTTAGTAATATCAGGTTCCTTTGTGGAGTTATTAAAGAGGTTAAAATGGCACTTTGTCAAGTTCCTCCAAGTTTCAAAGAGTCCCAAAAGCATGTTCAGTGGCTGTGCCTCTGGATTTAGAGCTGACCTCTCTCTATTTGAGTTCCCCAAATTCCATCCCATCTTCCCAAAATTTGTCACTGCAACATAGGCAAGGCAATGATGTTCCCTGTGATGTTCTATGACTGCGCAAATTCCCCAAATTTCCCCTGTAATGCAAAATTGGAAATTGCAGAAAATCATTATTTCAATACCATTGAGATTTGAGGGT